TCACTACACGGATTACTATTCGGGGGTTACTTTCCGAGTGAGTATTATACAGCAAGTACTATAGTGCGAGATTATTCAAGGACGTCTGACACTAGTATTGTTCAACGGCATTACTATAGTTGTATCTGCGATTACAAAGTCTCTACTACAACGAGCATTACGAAAGTGCCAACAAGTATTCATTGGCATTACAAATGTGGCAACGAGTTTTCGTTGACATCACAAAAATGGTAAAGTACGCTTGGCTTTAAAGCGAGTTTCTTAAATTAAAAAAAGTGAATACTGGTTCGATACTGGTTAAGAGGCGTCTTTTCTTTCTTAAGACTCTCGATCTCTAGGCCAGTATACATTAATTTCACTGTTCATAGTGAATTAGGGAAGTTTACTTAAACACGCACGCCCACTAAATATAACATTTATACTAATAAATAGAATAGATTAAAGTACCACAAAGAACTGTTTGAACTGCTGAGTAACCTTTGACATATTTGGGGAGGATATTTGAATAATCCAGGACCTATACTGGCAGCAAACTGTCTGTATACAGATAGAAAATGAGTTCAGTAAATATACAAAAACTGGAAGGGGTGTAAGACAAAGATGTGTCTTCTCACCGGACTTATTCAACCTATAACAATGAGGCGACTCTGAAAGAATTAGATGTCATACTAGGATTCATTACTGTTGGTCACAATCTTAAAACCATAAGATATGCCCTTGACACAGTGTTGATTGCAGACGCAGAAAGCAAACAATAATAACTCCGACAGTGGGTCGTGAATGAAAGCGAAAAGAAAGGATTAAACATCAATTGCAATAAGACGGAATGCGTGGTTGTTAGCAAAAGGGAACAAACCCAAAATGCAAATTACAAATTGGAGATAGCAAAATCAAACTAATAACAAAATTTAAATATCTTAGCACAGGATAGAAAGCGCGACACTGAAATCTGAAGGCGCACTGAGATAGCGAAAGAAGCCTTCCAAAAACTAAGCAATGTATTAAAAAAAAGGAAAATATAGAAACAAAAAAAAAATAATCGTACTGAACTCTTATGCAATATCAGTCCTCCTATGACAGCGAATGCTGGACGACCTCCATATGGATGAAGAAATGACCTGAGGTATCAGAAATATGGTAATACAGAAGGATGCTGAGGATACCGTGAACTGAACATGTGAACAACGACGAAGTTTTAAAGAAAATGGAAACAAAATGAAACATATTTAACACGAAGAAGAGGCTGTTGTAATTCCTAGGGTACATAATGAGGAATGAACGGTTGAAAATAATATCCTTAGAGATATTGAGTGAATGGATGACGGAGTAAGGTTTAGGGGAGTTTTCAAAAAGATACAATTTATTAAGAGCTACAAAGGAGAAGAAATTGTGGAGAGCCATGATCGCCTACATCCTGAAAGGACACGACACAGAATAATAATATTTTTTTATACATTATATATGTAATAACTGTATATAAAAAGTATATATATTTTTTTAAATGAGAACATTTGTTCAGCTTAGTAAAAATGAAAAAAATTGTTCAATTAAATTCACCCTCAGGCTTGATGACAATCTCGATATTCAGAAGGAAGTTCTGATCAGGTCGTTCCCCTTCATGTTGGTTATCAGGCCAACAATAGTGAAATTCAACAGGTCCGGTGGTGTAATGGATAGAGGTTTGAAATTAGAACATCCGAGTTCGAATTACAGTCGAGTTCATTACATTCCCTTATGCACAAATACCCCGGTTAAATAGTAAGACTTGTGTCTAGAAAAGACATTGGTATTCTCAAAAAATTGTTAATGCAACATTCACTAGCAAGGAAAACAAGAATTATTCGTACAATTAAAATGTATTCAGTTTTAATATAGTGATTTTCCAAGCGTAGCTTAGTTGTGGCACAAGGCCGAAAGTATGGATCACACAGTGAGGATCGAACTCACTACTCGGTCGTAATTGTTCTAGCGAGAAAAGCTTGCTAAACATTACACCGTCTAGAGGTGCCCAAATATGGATTTTCCAAGCGTAGCTTACATGTGGCACAAGGCCGAAAGTAGGGGGCACCCAGTGAGGATCGAACTCACTACTCAGTCGTAATTGTTCTAACGAGACATACTTGCTAACCATTACACCACGTCGAGGTGCCCTAAATTTCGGTTTTAAATAACTTTTTTTTTAAGCGTTTTACCCCAAGCAAGGCGGGAAGCCACTTGGACGCAAGGGGGTTACAGAAGATTTGGAACAAGATCAGATAGGAGTGATAGAGGAAAGGATGAGGAGAAGGATAGTGGATAGATCAAGGCAACTGGAGATGTCGACTGACATTACATTTAAAAAGTTGGAGATTATAGCTCTCAGAGAAACTGGAATAGGGAAGAGAGTTCCACAGTCGAGAGCTGCGAGATATGAAGCTATTGCAGTAGAAGGGACGGCTAAATTTAATAGTTTCGACAGTGAAAGGGTGAGAGCGGGATGCCAGCCTCGTAGGACGCTTGAATTCATGAAGTCTGGGAACCAGCGAATACAGCTCCTCGGAGCAATTACCACAAAAGTATTTGTAAAAAAAAGACAGAGAGAGGCGACGGCGCGTCTGTGAGAGAGCGACTGTAGACGAGATGCCAGAACATGGCCAATTATATTGCATATCCGCCTCTGGATCTTATCAAGAACCCCGAGGCAAACAGAAGGGGCTCCAGACCATATATGGCAGCAATACTCCATGCAAGGGCGAATTGTTGATTTGTAGATCTGAAGGATCGATCGATTGATAAAACTATCTATCAATCAACGAGTCATTGATACATGGCACAGTGGATAAAGGCGTTGGTTAGATCCAGTGACAGGACCCAAAGAGTGAGAGTTCAATACCCGGTTAAGGCAGTGGAGAACTTTCAGAGTGAAAATTAGCAGGAGATAACTGATAACTGACATCCATCAAACATGGCACGTGGAACTAGAACAGTCTACTCCAGTGAGCGAAATAAAGGGTTCAGTTCAAAATTCCAACCACCTGAAAAAGGCCGGAGCGTACAACCGCCGAAACGTTGTGATAAATATGGCGACAAAGATGAGGACAATAGTCCGAATAATGTAAATAATGTGAACAGGTTCTATTGGCGTTTACGCACAGATAGATAGATAGATAGATAGATAGATAGATAGATAGATAGATAGAAAAAAAGAGTAACAGAAAATGAGAAAGCAAGAAGTAGAAAGGGACGATGAGAGAGAGAGAGAGAGAGAGAATAATATAAATACAGTGCATTGCAAACGTCTAGACCCCTTGAAAACTGGATGTATTTTATTTATTTTGATAGGAACAATTAATATTTTAAACTCCAATAATTTGTTTTAATAAGCAGATCTATCACACTTTTATTTAATACACAAAATACATTTGAAAAATTTTAAACTGATTCTTAAACAAAGATAATTTTGAAAAAAATGTTTTTGAAAAAGTCTACACCCCCTTTGGAATGTCTTCAGCTAATACTTTGTGGATGATCCTGCTGCGTCAATTGCAGCCTGCAGACGCCTCGGGTAGCCTTCCACAAGCTTGCTGCAGTGGTCTGCTGACAGTTTTTGCCATTCTTCATGGCAGAACTTTTTGAGCTGTGTCAGATTGGATGGGGAACGTCGGTGCACAGCCAGCTTTAGATCTCACCGTAGATTTTCTATAGAAGTCTGGAGACTGGCTGGGCCACTCCATAACTGTCATTTTCTTGCTAGCAAACCAAGCTTTAGTGCCTTTTTGACACATGCTTGAGGTCGTTATCTTGTTGGAACTTAAAATTGCGACCCAAGCGCAGAACTCTAGCAGACTCCAGCAGGTTTGCCTCCAATATTTCATGGACAGTGTCAACACAGTCCATGACACCTTGGATGGTTACCAGCTTTCCAGGCCCTGCAGCTGAAAAACAGCCCCAAAGCATGATCAAGTCACCGCCATGCATTCCAGGAGGGACGGTGTAATGAGGTTGGTGAGCAGTGCCTTTTTTTCCGCCAAACGGGGCGTTTCGTTTTTTTTTTTTTTTCAAATAACTCAACTTTGGTCTCATCTGACCACAAAATCTTTCGCCACATGCTCATGGAATCATTGATGTGACTTTTGACAAAGTTTAGCCTAGCTTGCTTATGCATACGCTTCAGAAAGGGCTTTTTTCTAGCTACCCTCCCTTGCAGGCCAGACCAGTGAAATACTCTGGAAATTGTAGATGCATGGGCATCCGTTCCCAGTACTGGAAACTGAAGCTTTCAACTCTTCCAATGTTGTACTAGGGTAGGTGGTTGCCTCCCAGACCAGTTTTGATTTCTCTTTTCTGGTAAGTTTGCTCGGTCTCCCAGGTCTTGGTAGGGTAGCACTGGTTTTGTGCACTAACCACTTCTTAACTACAGTTTTAACAGTGCTTAGGGACACTTCTAAAGTTTTTGCAATCTTTTTATAACCATTATTTTCATTGTACTTTTGAATAATAATATGGTTTCTAAGTTCCTGAGACAGAGGCTTGCCAATTTTCTTTCCCGAGTTGGACACCGTGTGTTTACAGTCAGAGTCCAAAGACCAATATACCAAAAAACCATGTGATGGATGATTTTGTAGTCACTTAAATCACCTTATATAGCAAAATAATAGACTGACCAAGTTTTTTTGTTATGGTAGAACGCACATGTCACTTTTGATTGTTCTGGATTGTATACATCAATGACAAAACTACGTGATAACACAGTATAATACCTGGGGTGGGGGTGGTAGACTTTTGCAAAGACATTTTTTTAAGTTATATGATTTTAAGAATCAGTGTGAAATTTTTAAAATGTAATTTTTATATCAAAGGAGAGTGTGATGGATCTGGTTATTATTTAACAAACATTGGAATTGAAAAAATGTGTTGTTCCCTGTTAAATTATAAAAAATATATAAATTTTCAAAGGGGGTGTAGACTTTTGCGAGCCACTGTAGATAAAAATAATAATACACGAATAAACTAAACAGGTTCTATTGACGTTTATAGATAAATAGGAACAAAGATAGATAGATAGATAGATAGATAGATAGATAGAAGAAAAGAGCAAAACAAAGTGGGAAAGTAAACAGTCCGATACAGCAAATTTTAACGAAAGAGAGATAATAATATAAATATATAGAGAAAGCATACACTGAGAAACCGAACAGGTTGTATTGACAAATTTACGCAGAAAGAGACTATATATATATATATATATATATATATATATATATATATATATATAGAGAGAGAGAGAGAGAGAGAGAGAGAAAGAGAGAGCAATAGAAAACATAATAATATAGATAGAAGATAAAGGAGAGAGAATACACTGCGAAAATGAAAACGTCGAGATAGTGAGTAGACCAAGAAAGAGAAAACTAGATAGATAGATAGATAGATAGATAGATAGATAGATAGATAGATAGATAGATAGATAATGTGGATCAGATGATTCCAACAAAGGAAATGGATGAAAAACAAAATTAAAAACAAAAGAACAAAGAATCTTATGAATGTGCTTAAAATATCCTGGAGCCATTTTATTCGTCAATCTTCTTCGCGTTTCCATACTTGAACATTTACCATTTTCTCCCACTCGCCAACACCTCCAACGAGCGACACTTCATCCTATGCAACATTTCCCATTTTGAAATATATAATCTCCGTGTCCTGCGGCAGCATATCTACCTACATACATGCGCTGAGGAGTGTGGTAGGATGAGGCTGTCCTTGAACGTCGCGTGGGCATCTCACGGCATGGTGCTCACTGTTACCAAGTATCTGATGAATGGCTGTTAATGTTTTTAACTTAGACAGGTAGGCCTGTATTTAAGTATACACTTGTGTATTGTTGGAGTGGTCGCAAAGAGCCAAGTGCCCAACATGCGGCTCATTCAATCGGCATTGTGTTATCTCTTGTATCTTGGCCCGTCAATTGAAGATGCCTCGGGATGCGACATCGTCCGAGAACAAAAGAGAAATCTTGAGATTTTTGTGACTACAGAAACAAAAAGTCGCAAAAGGATACAAAATAAAAAATAAAAACGAAAATTTGATATTTAAAAAATAACGATCAACTTTAGGCTTTGTGGCTGACAAGAAAATAAAAAAATGAAGACAATGTATGATTTTTAAAATGAAGAAAAGAAAACGATACTGCCATTATAAGAGAAGAAAAATCTTCAGATCTTTGACTGCTAAGAAATTAGATTTAAAAACATAAGTTCTTGTACGTGTACGCCTGTTTGTATATGTAAGTGTAGTTCACTTTAAATATGCAATAGAGAAATGAAAGATGAAGATAAAAAAAAAACAAAAATCACTGAAGATGTGAAAAATTGAAATTAAAAATCTATATACATATGAAGAAGCAGAAAACTTGAAAAAGACAATTTCGGGACTGATGAAAATAAAAAAAAATATCAAAATAAGCAAACTTTTAAAGTAAAAAAATAATATACGTAAAACGTTACGAAACTGTCACGACAAACAGGAGAGAGTACTGCAAGAATAAAATAAAAGATTTGACTTGTCATTGGTACAATGTAAACTAAGGCTGGTGGGGAAATTACCGCTCTCTTGAGAATCAACTTCATCGACTTGTTAACGAGATAAAAGCCTTGTTGATGAGATGTTATTGTGTGCATTCTCACGGGACATTCATCTCTTGTAGCTGTCAATTGTTTCTTTTTTTTTGTTTGTTTTTTGTTTTTTTTTCTTTTCTTTTGCTGCAAAATCCTCAATCGGTTGCATAAAGTAGCATTCTTTACAAAAAGGTTCTTTGGGAAGCACGTTGGCTTGCAACAAAAAGGAAGAAAAACAAACCCATTTTCACGACTGAAATATACATATGTGCCGAGACAAAGACTAAGATACACACACACATACATACATACATACATACATATATATATATATATATATATATATATATATATATATATATATATATATATATATATATATTTGTGTATTTGGGCAGCAATCCCTCTTTGATACAAGTTTCACTGAAGACGACAAACAAGGAACTGCAATAAGCTTTTTAATCATTTTTCTTGCATTCGCTCGAGTTATTTCTTCTCTCAACATAGTGTGTATAAAAACCAGTCCAAATGATCTGTAGACACACACACACACACATATATATATATATATATATATATATATATATATATGAGCACCTTGACGTGGTGACATGGTTATCAAGCTTGTCTCATGAGAACAATTACGACAAGTTAGTTGTTCGATCGGCCTTGTACTACATCTAAGCTACGCTTAGAAAATTATCATATATATATATATATATATATATATATATATATATATATATATATGAGTGCAAAAGCGTGAAACCCAGGTCCACAAACTCATATCCATACGACTGAATATGTTAGCTCTATCACTGATATTGAGCACTTTGCAATAATTACTGCGCATAAAAAAATATATATATATATATATATATGTGTATGTATGTATGTAAGTATGTATGTATTGATGCGTATTTAGGCACTAGCCTTTCATGCATCTTTTATAAACGGCCGACAAGAAAGATTTAATTAATCTTTTATTGAGTTTTTTCAGCAATCTAACATTTTCCGTTTTTTCAGGGTTAAAGAATATAGGAATTATCCGTACTTTTAATTGTTCCTAGCGCTTTCGGCTATTTCTCTAACCATTATCAAGGATGTGTTGTGGATGGTGAAATTCCGCGTGGCTCTGCTTATTATATTTTATTCTCCCACTATCAATCTCACATTATTTAGCAGAGGACACGGCGTGTTAAAAGTGTTCTAAAAATAGGTCTTACCCCGGTCAACTGGCCGCGCATAGCACGTGACCGCAAAGTACCACACATACCGCCCGAACTCCACAATTTCCCCATCCAAAACATATCCTTGATAATGGCTGGGAAAGTAGCCGAAAGCGCCCGGAAGAATCATAATGATGGACAATTCGTTTATTCTTTCACTCCTGAAAAACGGAAAAATGTTAGATTGCTGGAAAAACAATGAAAAATTAATCAAATCTTTTATTATGTAAGTCAATTTTTTAACGCTAAAACAAGTATTAATCAACTAATGTTTGTAAAATTTTCAGAACATTTATATATATACATACATCTCAAATATATCAGTTTCAGCTTATAATATTTAACCTTATTAAAAGCAATATTTTTGCGGGGAAGTGTCAGAATATATGGTGTAAGCTATCTGCAGCAAATTTCTGTTTATAAATAAAATCAAAGGATATAGGCTACATAAACCTAGATTTGATTTACAATACTATATACATATATATATATATATATATATATATATATATATATATATATATATATATATATATATATATATGTTATTTTATTACTTTCACCTTCATCAGTTTCTTACTTATTAATATGGTTAAGTTGTTTTACTGTTTCGACTTTGCAGCATTTTCTATTTCTCCCAGAGATCTTTGTCGGAATATCCTTTTCATTCTCTTTTAGCGACGGATCCTAAGTTTTCTATTGGACAAGTGGTTCCCAAAAACGGAAATTACTTATGACTCAATATATAAAGTTATATGAGTTTTTATGGATATCTGGATTGATTGTGCGCCATTCCATTAATCTGGTATCTTTGAAACATTGTTTTAGCAAGATGGGCAATAGTTCGTTTTACAAAATTTAATGAACATTGTCTTGCATGAATATAGTTCTTAGCTTAATACTTCTTAACTCAAAAAGTTTCTTCTCCCCAAACTGATAATTCTCTGTATCTATCTTTATGTTATCATCACAATTTACTGCCTACAATACTAATGAAATACATTACTTCATTTCCATGCTACTGTCCTTTAAATTGTGTTGATTAACTATTTCCATAAAGGATGCCATGACATCAGATTTATTCAATGTAGCTCAACATTCAACACCAAATATTACGGCTAAAAAATGATTTCTCTTATACTTTGTACAAATTAAGCGTTTTCATGTATTTCTTTTTTGAACTTCCACGTTTCTCTTTGCGATGTCTATTTAAAGAAGCTTATTTGATTCTTTCCGAATCTTCAGGCAATTTTTTTAATGTTCAGTATCTTTTCTTTTTGTTCTAACATTTTCTTTTAAAACAATTCACTTTTTTTGCTTAATACCCATTCTAATGTTAACCAGCATTCTTAAAGCCATTATATTGTTCCTATCTTGTCAGTTTTTTTTTAATTTCTTTCATTAGTTTTTTGTTTTTCTCTGAGTCTTTTTAAATTTTCTAAAGATGTGATCCCATAATTCAAGAAGTTGAAAATATTTTCTTTCCATTTAAGGTTATGTTGTCGTATAACCGATAATAATTTGGGTCTGAAATTAAAAAACAAAAACAAATATCTATCGCATTATTTATTAAATTTGCTAAAAAAACAACGATAGGCATAATAAAATCCCATCTAACCAATATGATATTGCAAGTATTTCTAATAAAAACAAATAACATGAACTGAAATTGATATCGTATATCTCTCATGTAAATATAAGTATTTCTTTAAAATTTTCTAATAATATCAGCATTGACTTGCATAATAAAATCCGACGTTCTCAGTTGTTTCGGGCCACTTCCCAGAACTTGACCAAACGAATGTTATTTAGAACTTTTTCTCTACACACAAGCAAGACAGTCCTGAAGAAAGAAACACTCCACACGCAAACTTTTTTCCAATTTGTCATAGATTTTTCGCGAATGCATATATATATATATATATATATATATATAATATTAGTGGAAAATATACATACATATGCAAAATATATATAAAAAATACCCATACATGTATATTTTTAGAAAAAAATTTTCCAAGAGGAAGAATCCAGGTAGAACTCAATGTCTAGGACAGAGTAAGGATATAATAAAAACTTTAAACACTAATATTCCATGGTCATGGAATATTAGTGTTTAAGCCTTTTATTATATATATATATATATATATATATATATATATAAAAATACACACACACACACACACATATATATATATATATATATATATATATATATATATACGCACACACCCACACACCCCTACAAATTTCAAGATTAGTTATTCCAAAAATTTGGCTTGAAGATGAAACAGAGTTTGGCACTTTAATTCAATTTAATTCTAATAATTATATTGAAGTTTTCAACTCTTGTTTTTTTGAAACGTGAGAACTCTTATGTAGCGGAGGAATCATATTTTTAAATAAATAATTATATTTAGGCTCTACTTTTGTATCGAGCACTGTTTTTTTTTTAAATAAAAACAAAAATACTAAAGAACTTCGGATTATTTACCTAACGAGTTTTTTCTTATTTTCTATATATTTTTTCACACACACACACACACACACACACACACACACACACACACACACACACACACACACACATTTATATATATATATATATATATATATATATATATATATTCTCCCGTCGTATTCGACGTCTGAGAGTCAAGCAGCTCAGTTCCTAGGAACCGACAGCCCAAATA